TGCTTGGCATAAAGTAAGCACTGAATAAATGGTACATATTGTTGCTATCGTTTGAATTATTACCATTATTACTACTACTAGTTCAGATAATTGACAGTTAATACTTTCACTCTGGGGGAAGAAGGCAGCAACAACTCCCTGCTGTCAAATCATCTCCTTCTTCTCCAAAGGCAGCACTAGACAGTCTCAGGAATGAAGGTGAGTCAGATGAATGGAAGTTAGCACCAGGAATGAAGAAATTACCTTTGAAAATAAAAGTGCCTACAGAGTATTTTTATTTGGATGTTCAAAGTCAAAATTCCCCACCTTTCTTAAAACAACTCTTTCTCAGTTTATAGTTGACCCTTGTACAACTCGGGGGTTGGGGCGCTACACATACCCCCTTCTAAGAGGAAAATCTGAGTCTTGCTATCTCTGCCTCGAAAACAAAGGAATTGGTAAATGACTCACCCAAGGGCAGGAAGCTGAAACAGTTTGGAGAGAATCAGGACTCAAACCCCAGGTCTTTTGATCCCATACATTGTGATCTCTAATCACAGCTCAAACCCGTGTTGTTCAAGGATCAACCGTACTTCCTTCCCCCCCACCCCCCCACCCGGTTTGGCTGAGATATAATTAACATAAAACACTGTATTAGTTTTAGGTGTATGTATATATTGTGAAATGATCATCATAATAAGTTTAGTTGACATCTACCATCTTACATAGTTACAAATTTTTTTCCTTATAATGAGAACTTTTAACATCCACTCTCTTAGCAACTTTCAAATATACAATACAGTATTGTTGACTATAGTCACCATGCTGTACATTATACTCCCAGAACATATGTATCTTATAACTGGAAGTTTGTACCTTTTGACCACCTTCACCCACTTGCCCATCCTCCACCCCTCGCCTCTGGCAGCAACAATCTATTCTCTGGATTTATGAGTTTGGTTTTTTTAGACTCTACATATAAGTGAGATCACACAGTACTTATATTTCTCTGACTTATTCACTTAGCACAATGCCATCAAGGTCCACCCACGTTGTTGCAAATGGCAGGGTCTCCTTTTTATGGCTGAATAATATTCCATTGTATATACATATATACCAGATTTTCCTTATCCACTCATCCATCAGTGGCCATTTAAGCTGTTTCCATATCATGGCTTGTATAAAAAATGCTGTAATGAACATGGAGGTGCAGATATCTTTTCAAGTTAGTATTTTCATTTTCTTTGGATGAATACCCAAAAGTGGGATTGCTGGATCATGTGGTAGTTCTATTTTTAATTTTTTGAGGAACCTCCATACCGTTTTCCATAGTGGCTGCACCAGTTTACATTCCCACCAACAGTGTAGGAGGGTTCCCTTTTCTCCACATTCTCACCAACACTTATTTGTGTCTTCTTCAGTCTCTTTCATTATTGTCATAGTTTTCAGGGAACAAGTCTTTCACCCCCTTGATTAAATTTATTCCTAGGTATTTTATTCTTTAAGATGCAGCTACAAATGGGATTGCTTTCTTAATTTCTCTTTCTGATAGTTCGCTATTTTAGTGCATAGAAATGCAACTGATGTTTGTGCATTGATTTTATGTCCTGCAATTTTACTGAATTTGTTTATTGGTCCTAACAGTCTTTTAGTAGAGTCTTTAGGGTTTTCTATGTATAATATCATGTCATTTACAAAGAGACAGTTTTACTTCTTCCTTTCTGATTTGAATGCCTTTTTTTTCTTGCCTAAATGCTATGGCTAGGACTTCCAGTACTATACTAAAGAAAAGTGGCAAGAGCGGGCATTCCTGATCTTAGAGGAAAAGTTTCAGTTAAAAGTCCCCATCTTTCTTAAACCTAATCATTCTCCGTGACTTCCTATCTCAGTACAAAGCCTGACCATCCATCTAAACATCTTAAGCTTCTCCTTCCACACTACCAGCCACTTGGTGACCTAGAGCCACTGATTCTCTCTCTGAAATGGTTTTCTGTAGATCTCTCTTCTCTTTCCCCATTCTACCTGGTTCAGGCACAATTAATTTTACTTATTTTTTTTTGGTCTGGACCGCTTTAGTGGTCTAAAATCTGAGCTCGTTCCTCTTTGCAACCCCACCTACTCACCGCCTCCAAAGTAACTTTTGCAAGATGAATTAGATCAAATCATTTCTCCCATACAGGCTGCATGGCTTCTCCTCCTCTGCAAGGTATATTCATAGCCCAGGCTCACTGAAACACCTCCTCCCAAACTTTCCTGCCACCTCCTCACTGCAGAACACCTACAAGTTCTTTGAACGTGACCTTTCTTTCAACGTGGAACACCTAGCTCCTTCTCTATAGAGATGCAGTCTGAACATGAACTTCTCTGCAAGCTCTTCCAGATTCCCTGAACCCTTTCTTCCCTGGGCTCCCACTGAGCTTGTTCCTATCTCCACTAAACACTCACCATGCTGATCATTATCACTTAATTTTCTTATCCTTTTCTGCTAGATTGATTTCTGAACAACATGGGCCTTCATTCTTGTAGCCTCTGGCACAGGGACTACATAGCACACAGTAGGTACTTAACAAATTAACTGCTGAGTAAACTGATGGTACAGTTTACTGGATGGTAAACTGGATGGTTTACTGGATGGTACAGAAAATAAAAGGAATGGGAAAATGAGACCTCAGTGACCAAGTTGATCTCAATAAAGCTAATTTCTATAACATACATGACTAACTGCAAACAATTATGCAAGTAGTTTTTAAAAGAATGTGATGCGTACTTGCAAATGACAAAGCTCTCAAGTTCCCACTTATGTCCGTTAACTGTTCATCACTGGAGAAAGAGAGAGCCACATCCTCCCTAATTTCGTTGGGTTCTGCAGGAGCTGCAAACAAGACACTTGGAAAGCTCTTGGGATCCTGTAGCTTTAGTTGAGGACACATTCCCTCATAAAATTCTATGGACTGGACTCAAGCAGTAGGTGCTCAGTAAATGCTGATTCGATTTGCAGTGGATGTGAAAGCAAAGAGCAACTCACATTTTAGACTAACTCAACGCAGTGACTGATTGTACCTAAGAAAACAGCTCTAAGGCTAAAGCAAATCAATGGGAGACTGAAAAGCAGCCAAATGTTCACTCCCCTGCCTTGTTCCACAGTCGACGCTTGTCTGCTTCTTGATCCTTTCTAGCTTCTAGGTTTTTCTTTTCTTTTTTTTTTTTAACATCTTTATTGGAGTATAATTGCTTTACAATGGTGTGTTAGTTTCTGCTTATCAGTTATACATATACATATGTTCCCGTATCTCTTCCCTCTTGCGTCTCCCTCCCTCCCACCCTCCCTATCCCACCCCTCTAGGTGGTCATAAAGCACCGAGCTGATCTCCCTGTGCTATGCAGCTGCTTCCCACTAGCTATCTATTTTACCTTTGGTAGTGTATATATGTCCGTGCCGCTCTCTCACTTCGTCTCAGCTTACCCTTCCCCCTCCCCATGTCCTCAAGTCCATTCTCTAGTAGGTCTGTGTCTTTATTCCCACCTTACCCCTAGGCTCTTCATGACCTTTTTTTTTTCCTTAGATTCCATATATATGTGTTAGCATACGGTATTTGTTTTTCTCTTTCTGACTTACTTCTGACAGACTCTAGGTCCATCCACCTCACTACAAATAGCTCAATTTCGTTTCCTTTTCTGGCTGAGTAATATTCCATTGTAAATATGTGCCACATCTTCTTTATCCATTCATCTGTTGATGGACACTTAGGTTGCTTCCATGTCCTGGCTATTGTAAACAGAGCTGCAATAAACATTTTGGTACATGACTCTTTTTGAATTATGGTTTTCTCAGGGTATATGCCCAGTAGTGGGATTGCGGGGTCGTATGGTAGTTCTATTTTTTACTTCATTGTGTTCCTGGAATGGAGGGGGTCAGTTAGCAAGTGTTGCCCTGTGCCTGTGATACGTTTGCCTGTGTTTTGTGTTGATGTAATATGTGTGAAAGTTGAGCTGCATTATTTAAAATGTCCTACTTTTCCTAAAGCCTCCCCTGCATATGACAAGTGGGATTCTGGCTTAGGGAAGAGATAAGGGTGGACTGGAATGCTCTAGCATCTTTCATCTCCAGTTGTGGGATATATGTTAAAGGGAGCTCAGAAACTTTTGTTTTTACTGAAAGGATACTTAAAAAAAAAAAAAAAGCGTAGGCAGCAGACTCATTAGATGTCCACTGAACACTTCTATCCTAACGTACTGAATAGGAAAGATTCAAAGCATGCACTCTGCTATAATTCATTTTGGGATAAGACAAAGACAGCAGTGCCTTGGAGAATAAATCATTAACTAAAGTCAAACGGAGACACCCTGGAAACCAGTGAAACCAGGAGGCAGCCGAGGGATCAGGCAGCTGGGATTTTCCTGTTCCCTCTAGTGACTTCTAGAGAGAAGCATCCCACAGGCAGGAGGAACTCGGCACACTGCGCTCCCTTCTATTTCACTTTTCAAACTTGAAGTTATTTTTAGATGACCCAAGCCCGCTAATCCCAGGCAGGACAATTCCCAGCCCGCTGCGTCTCAAAGCACCTTCCCCTCCCCAGCACTTTCCTTAAAGCACTGGGAAAAGAGGCTCCGATTCCCCGTTTGCTCTCTGCGTACAGACCACCTCCCCTAATCCCCTCTCCAAATCTCATTCCCGGGGACCACAGGCGTCGTTCCCGCTCCTCCACTTATGCACCTGCTGCTGCTACTAGAAAGACGAACCCCTGGGCCACTAGGACTGGGGAAGGGGCTCCTTAAGACCCGCGCCCTCTAGAGGGGGTCAAGGGACCTCGGTCCTCACGGCCGCCGCGGGAGCTGAGAACTGGATCTGGAGACCACCCGCCGCCACGGCCACCGCCCCCGGCCCAGCCCCATACCCCGCCCGCTCTCAGCCGCCCCCCGCCGCGGTCCCCCGGCCCGGCCCGGCCCGGGCGCCGCGCGCAGTCCCGGCAGGACAGGACAGGGTGCCGGGGCGAGCGGGCCGGCGCCGTTACATAACCGACCTGCTGGTCGTCCGCGATGCGTCGGTGGAGGCTGAGGCGACTGCTGGGCGGTCTGCCGGTCGGCGGAGCCGGCGACTGCTGGCGTGGCGCGGCTGCTCACCTGGCGGCCGGGCCGAGAGCGCGCGGGGACGGGCGCGGTGCCCGCGGGCCTGGGCGTGGGGCCGTACGCGGCGCGCCCCGCCTCCCGGGCTCCGGCTCCGGCTCCGTGGGTCCGCGGGTCTCTGCCTCCCGCCCGCTCCTCGCCGCAACCTCAGCGGCAGTCACCCGGGACAAAGCGGCTCCGGGGAGGGGCCGAGCCGGCGGCTCTGGCAGGAGCCAGCGGAGATGGGCGCGCCCCCAGCTCCGACTCATCGCGCCAACCTCCAATCAGACCCCGGGAAACCGAGAGCCCCTGTCTGGCCTCCTCTCCTCCCCTCCCGCCTGACCCCGCGCCCTTCCCGGTCCCCCACGCACTTCCCTTCCCGGGCACTCCCCCTGCCCTCCGCCCCGGTGCCCAGGAGGAGGTGAAGACCCTCTGGGGACCGAGTTCAGGAGACGGTCCGTAGGAGTCCCGGGGGGAGGGGCTCCTCGGGGTCACGGCCGGGGTGGTGGCTTCCTTGAGGGTCGGAGTGGGCAGGGGGCTGATGCTGAAGCTAAGGGTGGCTGGGCAGCGACAGCCGGGAAGAAACTGATAGAGAAGCAAACTGTGGGTGGGGAATACTGAGCTGATGGAGCCCCCCTACTCCGGCTAACTGAGGAAAGGTCGAGAAGCCCCTCGAGGGAGGGCCCTGGGGCGCTGCGCCGGGTGGGCGCAGGCACCCGGTGGCTGGCTCCCCGGCCCCGCCCCGCCCTCGCGGGGGAAGGTGCCCTGCGCGGGCCGTGGCTTTGCCAGGTTTCCCAGCCGCCAGACCTGGGGACTGAGGGCTTCAAGGACTCCTATTGTGTGAGAGCCTGTGACACAGGAGTGGGTGGCATCCTACGGTATCGTACAGTAAAAGGTTGAATGTGAAACAGAATCTTGGGTAGATCTGTCGCTCAACAAACTTAACCCCGGTAGAGGTCTCTGCTTTACAAAGTAAAGCAGTTCAGAGCCGCGGCTTATGGGTGCCACCCGTACGGATAGAGTTGAGTCTCATGGCAAGAGAATGCCAATAGTGTAAAAAATATATATAATAAGGGAAGTGGGAAAAACTGAAGGAAGAAGGGTGGCGGGGTGAGGGTGGGGGAGGGGCGGGGGGTGTGCACCAACCTGAGGGAGGGAATGAATAAGATATAAATCAGCTTTGCGTTCTGTCATCTTTCTAAATGCTACATAAATAGGCCTTTTTCCTTGTGCTTTTTATGCCCTTTTGTTTCCTGATAACAATGTTAAAATTGCATCGAAGCAACTTGTAAGTTTCACAACTATTCTTTGCTCACCCAGGCACCACATTGTTTTTTCCAAGGCTGACACAGAATTGCATCCTCTTTGAAAAACAAAACAAAACAGAAAAGGTAGACCTTGGCTCTTCTCTCTGATTAATCTGCATGAAATATAAATAAAGACAGAATTTCAGAGTTGAAAATGACCTCGGACTCCTACTCTTCCAAACTTCTAGATGCACAAATCCATATATATTCACTGATTAGATGAATTACTTTTTTGGATAGAATTGTTTGGAAGAGCATCCTTATGTTAAGCCCCAAATTACTTTCCTAGGATTTTCACTCTAGTTCACTTTTTGAAGCGATGAAGACAGTGTCCAATTCCTTTTCCAACTGACTGTCTTTCAAACATGTGAAGGCAGCCATCATCACTCACTCTAAGCCCCCATTTCCAAGTAAAATATCCTCAATCCTTCGAACAAAATTTCACAGTAAGTAGTTCCTAGAATCTTCACCAACCTGAAGACCTTCACCTTAATAGGATCTATTATGTACATATATGTTTACAAATAAAATTTTCTGGGTACAGAAATAATAGATTTATTGTAGAAGTTCTGCAAAGTTGGAAAAACACAAGATTTAATGTGAGAATTCAATGAAGTAATACATGTAAAGCGCTTAGCCCAATGCCTGGCACACAGTAGCACTCAATATATGTTAGCTGTCACAAAAGTGAACATGGTCATTTTCTTACCACTCAGATACATGTTTTCTTATTTTCTTAATACACTTTTTTTTTTTAAGTTTAAGGTTCACAGCAACATTGAGTGGAAGGTAAAGAGATTTCTCATATACCCCCTGCCCCACACATGCACAGCCTCCCCCATCATCAACATCCCCCCACCAGAGTGGTGCATTTGCTACAAAAGATGAACTGACGTGGAGACATAATTATCAACCAAAGTCCAGAGTTTACACTAGGGCTCACTTTTAGGTGTTGTACATTCTTTGAGTTTTGACAAATATATAATGACATATCTACCATTATAGTCTCTTACATGACAGTTTCACTGCCTTAAATATCCTCCCTGCCCCTCCTATTCATCCTTACCTCCCCGCTAACCCTTGGCAACCACTGACATTTTTAACCATCTCCATAGTTTTGCCTTTTTCAGAATGTCATATGGTACGAATCATACAGTGTACTGTATAGAATTTTCAGATTGGCTTCTTTCCTTTAGCAATATGCAGCTAAGTTTCCTCCATGTGTTCTGCGTGAACATAAGTTTCAACTCACTTGGGTAAATACTGAGGAGCGTGATTGCTGGATCATATTATAAGAATATGTTTTGCAAGAAACCACCAAATACTGTCTTCCAAAGTGGCTATACCAGTTTGCATCCCTGCCAGCAATGAATGAGATTTCCTGTTGCTTCACATCCTCACCAGCGTTTGGTATTGTAAGTATTTTGGAATTTTGCCATTCTAATAGGCATGTAGTGGTATCTCATTATTGCTTTTATTTACAGTTTCCTAATGACATAAGATGTGGAACATTTTTTCATATGCTTATTTGCCATCCATAGATCTTCTTTGGTGAGGTGTCTGTTCAGGTTTTTCATCCGTTTCCTAACTGGGTTGTTTGTTTTCTTATTGTTCTTATTATTCCTTTCAGTTTTAAGAGTTCTTTTATATTTTGAACAACAGTCCTATATCAAATATGTATTTTGTAAATAATTTCTCCAACTCTGTGGCTTGTCTTCTCATCCCCTTGACAGTGTCTTTTGCTCAGCAAAAGTTTTTAATTTTAATGAAGTCCAGCTTATGGATTTATTTCATGGATTGTGCCTTTGGTGTTTTATCTAAAGAGCCTTCATCATACCAAAAGTCATCTAGGTTTTCTTCTATATTATCTCCTAGGAATTTTATAGTTTTGCATTTTATGTTTAGGTCTATGGTCTATTTTGAGTTAATTTTCGTAACGTGTATAAGTTCAGTATCTAGATTATTCTATTTATTTTTTATTTTTTGCATGTGGATATCCAGTTGTTCCAGCAGCATTCGTTGAAAAGACAATCTTTTCTCCATTGTTTTGCCTTTGCTCCTTTGTCAAAGATCAGTTGACTATACATATTTATCTGGGTCTATTTCTGGACTATTTATTCTATTCCATTTATCTATTTATCTGTTTGTTCACCAATATCACACTGCCTTGATTAGCTTTACAGTAAGTCTTGAAATCAGGTAGTGTCAATCCTCTGATTTTGTTCTCCTTTACAATTGTGTTGGCTATTCCGGTCTTTTTGCCGCTTCATATACACTTTAGAATCAGTTTGTCAATATCACAAAATAACTTGCTGGGATTTTGATTGGGATTGCATTGAATCTAAAGATCAAGTTGGGAAGAACTGACATCTTTCCATACTTAGTCTTATTATCTACAGACATGGCATATCTCTCCATTTATCTAGTTTTTCTGATTTCTTTCACCAGAGCTTTATAGTTTTCCTCACATAGATTATGTACATATTTTATTAAAGTTATGCCAAAGTATTTCTCCTTTTTTTTGACCTTTGCCCATGTTTTAATTGGGTTGTTTTTCTTTGTTTGTGTGTGTGTGTGTCTGTGTGTGTGGAGTGTAAGAGTCCTTTATATATTCTGGATACGAATCCGTTGTCAGATACACGATTCGCGAATATCTTCTCCCATTCTGTGAGTTGTCTTTTTCTTGAGAGTGTCCTCACTATGAAGTATAAAAGTTTTGAATTTTGACGAAGTCCAATTTATCTATTTTTGTTATGGTTGTTGCTTATGCTTTTCGTGTCAACAACATTATTTTTTATAGCTACATAGTATTCCTGATAGCTGTACTTTTTTTTCTTTTGTTTTGAAACAATTTCAAACTTACAGAAAATTGGCAAGGATAATACAAAGAACTCTTATACACCCTTTGTCAGACCCGTTTTATAAAAGGATCCAAGAGAGGATACTGCTTTTCACCCAGTTGGCATGTTTCTTTAATCTCCTTCAGTCTGAAACAATGACCTTGACAGCTTTGAGTTCACTTGCTAGTCATTGTATAGAATGTACCTCTATCTGGGTTTGATGTTTCCTTACACTGAGGTTATAAGGCATACTCCGGAACATCACCAAAGTGGTGCTGTGTTCTTATTGCCACCTATGTATGGCACGTGATATTGACTTGTCACATTCATGTTTTTCTACTTCTATCATTTCTTTTGTATTAGTTAGCATTCTACTGAAAGGAAAAGTCTTTCTTCTCCTCATTTAACTATTTAGTAATATAAATGTGCACTCACAGACTCCTAGTTTATTTAATGGGTCATAATCTGTTACTATCATTACTTATTTTGATGCTCATCCCCCCAGATTTGGCCAGTGGGAGCCCCTTCAAGCTGACTTCTGTGTCCCTTGGCACATCGCCGTAACTGAGTGTTTTCTTACTCGCTGGTACCAGAGAGTCCAGACTCAACTTATTCTTTGTCACTTGTGACCCTGGAAGGATTTCATGTTTTCCAAAGATACACGCTTATATTTTTTTCAAAGAGAGGACTTCAGACTCTTTGCTTCTGCACTAGGAGAGATTATAGGGGTTTGGATTTATGAGGAAATTTGAAGATTACATATCACTACTAATAACAAAAACAATAACATTAAATACGTTCTTGAGTGGTTACTGAGTACCAATCACTCTGCAGTTCGTATTTGTACATTAATGTAATCTTCATAATACCCTATGAGATAAGTACAACTATTATTTCCATTTAATAGGTAAGGAAACCAAAGCACCGATAGATTGCCTAACCCTGGTAAGTTGAGCTAGAGTGAAACCCAAGTAGCCTGGTTCAAGACCTTGGGGTCTTTTGTGTGTAGGAAAATGCTGTCACTTTCAGGGACCATGGAGGGTGAGTCAGGCCTTCCTCCTCAGGGCTCCTGGAGTTCTTTTTCACATGTCC